TGAAGGTCTGGCAGCGCGCAGTAAGTATCCTCTACTGGCAACAAACAGCAGTGTTGTGTCTCAAGCTGCACAGATCATAACAAGCAGAACACGCTGACAGAAAAGTGAAACGCTCTGTGGGAGAAGCAACAGTAGTGGAGTGAAGTTGGGCTGGGCTCGCAACCAAAACCACTGAAACCAACCGAAAACTGGAACCACCGCTGCTATAAAAACCTGGAAGCATCACCACACACATATGAGCCGCCTGCAGATAATAACACAGCAGCTACAGCCAGGCGATGCTGTTTATACTCGCACAACGTTCATGGATGTATAATCGTCACGCTTGAGTCAAGGCAAGGTTAGATAAGCACTCTGCAAACCCGTCATTATGCAGTACAACATGCAAAACATTGGAGAGTATTTGAAGTTATTTATAATGTACAGAAAGAGAGACTCGGGACTCACGCGTTGCAGTAGGGTTTCTTATCATAGCCTTTGTAGTTCTTCATGTTCAGCGTCATCTTGCAAACTTCGCAGTGGAAACATCCTTTGTGCCAGTTCTGAAAACACACAGATTCACACTCGAATCAATAGATTCAAATGCTTCCATAGTTCAGTGATCGTGGAACCATTAATGCCCAGTAAACATGCTACGCTGGTGAAAGATGTCATCTATAGACATGTACAGGAAATTGGTGAACTGGAAGTATATCAGTTACTTTATGATGATGTGGCCTGTTTGTCATTTAGTGTGTTTTCATCCCCTCAGAAGAAAAACTGAGGTTTGAACTGATCTGTGTTTGTGTAGAATTAGTTTGGAGTTTGTGTCTGAAATCTCTGCGACCTTTTCAAGCTTCATTCTGTGGTTTTCCTCATTGAACTTCCTGGTTAGTACAGTAATGGCTATGATGCATTAATGGTACAAACGATGGCTACAGCCATCACCCATTGTTTTATGAAGTCACATGAAACCTCAAACACCACATTTTGCCCGTCTTGGTATTTTGAAACTGGACGTGAAGACGCAGTTGTGGACCATGTTTCTTTCTGAAACTTAAAAATGACTCAATCAACGACATTTTTCAGTCACTGTGACATGAGACGAGCCACCGAACCTGTAAACTCACCTGTAAAGTTGTTACAGAGGTCAGGGCATCGATTTCAGAACCACAGTTTTCACCCTCCCTGTGGGCGTTATGAATGCAGGTCTAAGGCACTTCCACATTGCCTTCCCTTTGTGTTAAATCCGTAAATTAGAGCCCGATTGATGTTGAATTTATAGGACCAGTGCAGATATTTGTGCATTTAAGAATAAGATCTATGTCTTTCAGACACACCAAACATAAAGAGATTTACATAACATTTGTTATGTGAGCTTATTTATGAGTCTTTCTGTCACAGCAAGTCATGGACGCTACTTTCCTGCCAACTCTGTAAGGATCAGCTGGCTGTTGTGTTGGTAGCAGCCCACTCATGCATGTTTCCAGTTGGGATGTTGCACAAGCACATGCAGAAAACTTCTGGTTCTCCCATCTCCTGCTTACTTTTTAATTTTAATGTATGACGTATTATAAATGTAGATACCAATATAATCGTCAGATAGCCAACATCGGCCCCACCAGTATCTCTCAGGCACTACTGATATCTGTGGTTAGTTGCTTGCAGGAAGTTCTGCTCATGTAATAAGACATGTTTAAAGGCAGATGTTAAGCATGGGTAGGGATGCATTTGCCTGTTTATTTGCTTATTTAAATGTGGAAATGCTTAAGTGCCTGAAGTCCTTCTCGCTCACAGGTGAGCATCACACTTGAGTCACTTTGTTTCTAGATTCAGTCTGTTTTTGTAGCTCTTTACCAACTGTCTTTAAAAAAAGTTGCTAATCAACAGGCTTGATCTCGGCTGCTAGCACTGCTCTGTTTGATCACACAGTGAGAGAGCAGCTAGTGACTACAGCTAAATATAACAGACAGATGCAGCTATGATGATGTCACCCAAACATTTGCAGTGTCCAGTTTTTAAAGTCTTAAGTTGAGCATTTTGGTCATCATCAGCTTAGCTTT